TGCGGTAGCCGATGATGATAGGAATTGTTAACTGTTTCTTTACTTATGTTCTACTATTAATTCTTGTGAGGTCGATGCTTTCTAGTGGTCGAGGAGGTAGAATTGAAACGTTATGGGCTTTCCCTGCGCGGGTTTGGATCCTGGTGTCGACACGTGTTTCTTTACGTTATCTAAAAAAAATAATTCTTTTTTAAAATGTTTAAGCTCCCCCTTGGCGCTTTCTCATTAATACTTTCTTTCTCAATTTTATTTCAAAAAAAAAAAAGAAGTTTAACCATTGCACCGAACTAACCTTTATAGTATCTCCTGTGATCATGATTGGTAAGAATTAAATAATTTAAAGTTAGGAGTTTTTGTCCCTTGCTTGCTCGCCAACTGTTCATAGAAATACTTCATTGATGTTCGTGTTGAACTAGTTTTTGGGTGCACTTTTGTGTATGCATGAAAAAGTTAGTAATTTTTCAGTTCTACTCGCCTCAAGGATGATATTTAACCAGTTGCATGTTATCATTTGCATGCTCGCTGACTTTTTCTTTCACCTGCCTGCGAGGGTTCTTAAATTTCTCACTGGCTTGATTGTTCTATTTGTTGTAATTTATGTATCCCCTTATGATCTTGATTGGCCTTGTTTAGATTAAAATGCTAAATCAATTGGTAATGAAATGAGGAAGATGATGGGTTAAATTAGACCATGAAATTGGACAAAACATTGTGTTTGATTGGATTGTGGGTCTGTTTGGTAAAGCAGAGAATTCTCTTAGGGGAATGCTCTAGCTGCCATGTGGTTATTGGATTTGTCTTTCTAGTTACGTTGCCCATGGTTTCCTTACTTTCTATAAGTAACTCCACAAATGCTTTCTTAATCACACTTAGTAACTTCATAAATGCTTTCTTAATCACATTTATCACACACTTCACCTTAAGACTACAGTGTAGATGCCTTCTATTAGGTTCTAGTTAATCAACTCACATTGCAAAGCAGGTGTCTAACGCTTTCCTGCCTTATACCAAATAGACTTTTGCCTATAGAGCCATGCATGACTTAGAGTTTGATCCTACTCCAATAGGATCAGTCGTGACACTTTTTATTTTTTAAGTGAATATATCTATTTTTTGGTGGAGCCTCACTGTCGCTTGTAACAGCATAGATTTGGAGCGATACATTTAATGACAAAATTCTCACGGTAGCTGGTTGAATCACAAATGTACCTGTTCTGGTGCCGTCGTTACCTGCTTGTTCTAAGATATATTTGATTTAAAAGCACATAAATGCTGACTTGGTGCATGTGGATGGCTGTTTTTATACTTTACAGCGTTCTATGAGAGAATAGGTAAAAAAAGGAGCAAAGATATTCTTGGATAAAGTGATGGATCATTCAGAACAGGTGCAAACACAACAGGAATCACAAAAGCAACACCACCAGCAACAACAGCAGTCCGTAATGGGAGTTGTATCTGGAACAGGTCAAATGGCTTATGGTAACCATCCTTACCAGACTGCTCCCATGGTGGCTTCGGGTACGGCTGTAGCAGTCCCTTCGGCAACACAGCCTCCCACTAGCTTCACTAATTCCCAACATCAGCTTGCATTCCAACAAGCCCAGCACTTCCACCATCAGCAGCAGCAGCAACAACAGCAGCAGCTTCAAATGTTCTGGACCAACCAAATGCAAGAAATTGAACAAACTACAGACTTCAAGAATCACAGTCTTCCACTCGCACGGATCAAGAAGATAATGAAAGCTGATGAAGATGTGCGGATGATATCTGCTGAGGCTCCTGTGATATTTGCTAAGGCATGTGAAATGTTCATCTTGGAGCTGACCCTGCGCTCTTGGATCCATACAGAAGAAAACAAAAGGAGAACACTGCAGAAGAATGACATTGCAGCTGCCATTTCGAGGACAGATGTGTTTGATTTCTTGGTTGATATTATCCCAAGGGATGAGTTAAAAGAAGAGGGACTTGGGGTGACTAAGGCAACTCTCCCGGTGGTGGGTTCACCTGCTGATATGCCGTACTACTATGTCCCACCTCAGCATCCAGTTGGGCCTGCAGGAATGATAATGGGAAAGCCAGTAGATCATCAGGCAGCACTTTATGCTGCCCAGCAGCCTCGACCACCTACTATGGCTTTTATGCCATGGCCCCAGGGTCAGGCACAACAACAGCCGCAACATCAGCAGCAGCAAACAGATTCTTGATAATGAGGGCCAAGTATTGTAATAGGTTTTCTTTTCTCTTGGATCAACTTTGGATTGTCAGAAGAATTTAGTGCTTTTATTGTAGCTATATTGTAGTTGTAGTGCTAGTAGGCAGTGATAACACCCAAACTTAGTGGATTCATTTGGCTGTATAATATGATTGGTTGTATTTGGTTTTGTTGGAAAACATTCTTATCATGGGTGCAAGTCTTGTCCTTTTTGATTGAGGAGATAATGGTGGCTGATACATACATATATATGTGTGTATGTAATTCTTCCCATTTGGGGATCTGATTTGAGAAACCAAGAGGTGTGCAAATGACAGAAAAAGGCCTGCCTCCCTAAAGATATGAATGATGAGTGAATCAATATTTAGATGTTGCATTGTACTATCATCCCTTTTCAAAATTACAGGTGTACATGCACATGCAATGAAAAATCAGGATTGGATGTATTTGTATCATCACAGTCTCAAATGATGGCGGTGGCTGAGTTTGGAACTTTTGGGTTGTTTGCTCTGTATTGGTTAGGTGAGAAGTTGCTGCGCATTGCCATTTCCATTTTAATTACCAAAATGCTCTTCTTCACTTTTAGACTTGAGACTTGGTCAATTCCCTTCCCTTCTTCATTCAATACACGGTTTGACATTTTATTTTTTTATTAATACTCAATTCAAATTGGTCAACATAATTCTTCATGGCAGCCTGGATTTGGTAGGGTTTTTTATTTTTACTAATCTTTTGATTAAAAAAAAAATTGTGGGCACAAATTAAGTAAATTCTTATAATTAATTAATTAATATACACATATCTATTATAACATAATTTCTAGTTTAAGTTGAGATATAAAACTTAAATATTTAGATGTTATAATTGTAAAAAGTTAAAGTTTAAGGGAGTTTTACTTGTTCCAAGTACGCCATTAATAAAATCATTAATGATAAGAACATAAGGGAGAAAAATAAAACTTACCTAAAAGTAAATATGCTTTGTAAATTTAGGGTTCTCTGAAACCAGTAACCATCTAGTTTAAACTTGTTCTGTTCCATATTTGACATTTTTTGCCTTCCAAGTGTTATACAAAACCCAAAATTTGAACTGAATTTCATATTAAAGTGCAGTGGGATTTTGAGAAATATATGTAATCTCTCTCTCTCTCTCTCTCTCTCTCTATATATATATATGTATAGAAAGAATCAGTTAATTATTAACTAAGGCAGTGGATGAGCAGGATTTCAAATTACCCAAACCTACATGGAAAAGGAATTAGTGAAACACTCAAATACACGCTTTTAGTTTTCCCTTCCAAGTATTCTTCTTTAAATTCTTAAGGTTTCTTCCCTATTCGCAATTATTTCCTTTTTAGTGTTTTCATTTATCAAAATTTCCTCTTGAGTTTCAGTCGTGTGAAATCAAGAAACCAAGCAAAGGAAGAAAGAAAGAAATAAGAGATGCAGAGCAACGGGAGAAGGTGGCGACGGGGAGAGATGATCGGCAAAGGTGCATTTGGCTGTGTGCATTTGGCCACTTCAAACAAACACAATTCCCGCTCTTCTCTATTTCCTCCTCTAATGGCGGTCAAGTCTGCTGACTTCTCCATGTCCGCTTCTCTTCAGAAGGAGAAAGAGGTTCTCCTCAACCTCTCTCACTGTTCCAATGTCTTGCGTTGTTACGGCGAAGAGACCACCGTCGACCCCGATGGTTCCATGGCTTACAATGTTCTCTTGGAGTATGCCTCTGGTGGAACCCTAGCCCGACTGATCAAAAATTCATATCCCTCTCCGGGATTGCCTGAAGCCCTGGTCAAGCGTTACGCCTATTCCATACTTGCAGGTATTTTTCAAGTTCATGAGTCTGGTTACGTTCACTGCGACTTGAAACCCGACAACATACTTCTTGTGCCTTCCTCTGCTTCTTCCTCTGAATTTGTTGCTAAGATTGCTGATTTTGGATTGGCTAAGAGAGCCACACTCACCAAGAAGCAGAAGCTGGATCCTTATTTGAGAGGTACCGCTATGTATTTGGCTCCAGAATCTGTGAATGAGCACAAGCAACATCCTCCTTCTGATATTTGGGCTCTTGGTTGCATTGTACTGGAGATGCTTACAGGCAAGGATCCTTGGGATGTGAAGCCTGATCATAAGAGGAAAGATCTTCTGCGTCTGATTGGAGACCAATATCAGTCTCCCACAATTCCGTCTGGGATTTCCAAGGACGCTAGGGCTTTTTTGAAGGCTTGCCTTGTAAGGAATCCCAACTTCAGACTCACGGCCGAGATGCTGCTCGATCACCCTTTTGTAGCCGGTCAAGACGACCACCAACCCTTGGAGGTTCAACAAGCTGATCAAGTCTCAAATATCGAGAGAATCTCCACTTCATATTCATCATTTGAGAGTGGTGATGAATTTGATTCTGACGACTGTGGCTCTGAGTCTGAGGAGGAGGATTCAGAGTTACTTTCCTGCTCTTCCTCAGGCTCAGAGGATGTTGAAGACTCTGGTAGTACCTCTAGTTTTGAAGATGGAGAGAGTGCAGGTGGAAGAAGAAGAAGAAGAAGAAAGAGAAGGGTCTCCAACTTTATACCCATTACTGATGCGGACAGTTTACTCAACGCCAAACCAATAGCTCCTCCCACGGTGCCCACCATTCCTTCTAGAGTCTAGCTGATGCTACTGCTTGCTCAATGTGTGTTGTAAGCACTGTCTTTGACTCTCCATACCCTCTGAAAGATTCATTCATTCCAACTGTAAATCATTCTTTTTGGAATTAGTGTTAGACATTAGGTTTGCTGCTATCAGATTTTGACACTAGAGAATTCATTGTTGCCCAATGTGGTACATATCACTATTCTTGGAACATAAATGGTTAAAGAAATACAATTTTCTATAACTTTATTGCCTCTTTATACTTCACTTTTGTTTGTCTTTTATGATGGTATTGGTATCCTTCACTTTTAGCTAAACAAGTCAATGTTGCTAGAATCCCACCTTTACTACTCATGGGGAATTGTTTCTCTAGGATCCCATTATAAATGGTTTCCCATTTTTACTCTAACCTCTTAATAATCTCCACCGTTAGTCAAATGATTCTTAAATAAGGACATCCTGTTTCATGGTACCCTTATATTTCTAAATTTTTCATGCCTAACGTCTGCCCCCTAAACAATTAGACTCCCTTTGCATTTTAGGATTCTTGTATTCTATTGCATTCTATATCACCTTGTATGTTTGAAACTTCCTTTTATGTTGTCTGGGGTAACAATATCCGTCGGGCAGTCATTCTACAAAAATTTAGCATGTGTTTATGTTTGCAAACATGTAATCTGCAGCTTTTCTCGTTGGCTTTTAACTCACTCGTGGATGGCGGTTGATTTCCATCTACCCCTCTTCATGGCCCCATTTATTCTCTAGTTCCACCAACCTTTTTGGTCCCTTCTTTTTTCCTATAAAAGGAGTGTGTATGGTAGGGATTATGTGGTGAATAGCAAGAAGAAAAAGGGAGGTGAAGAGTGTGTGAGACATTATGATTTTGTATAAGATCACTCTTCTCATATGCTTTTAGTCTAGGTCTTGAAAGTGGGTCTTCTAGGTTCAAGTGATTGTAAGTGTCTTATGAGGTACTTATACACCTTCTCTTTATTTGTCCTGGTAGGAACATAGTAGGTATTCTTCTGAAAATAGATTAATTGGATAGACCCACATAATGTTATATGTTTTCTTGCTTCCTCTTTTATTTTATTATTTATGGTGTGAACTTTTTCCTTACATTTCTTACATGTTACACCTGGTTTATCTTTTCTCAGCTTCATTTATGTCTTGGAAAAGTGAAACAATTGCAGTAACTGTGTGAAACATGGTAAAAAATTGTTTAGCTTCTGTTGTGACAGCAATAAGTTCCTCCTCTTTACTCAAATCAACATCTATCTCTTCATCATTTTCTCATAATTTTATAATGGATAAGTTCTGGAGAAACCAAAAAATTTCATGTTCTGTGGGGATTGACATTTTTCTTTGAAACTGTCTGTTTCTTTTCAATGTTGATTGTCTTTAGGGATTTTAATGTTTTTTTGGAGCCCTTTGGAATATATTTAGTTGCATAATAAGTTTAGGCACAGAGCTTAGCTATGTAGTGCTTGTGGATAGGGAAATCACAAAGGGCAGGTCTTGTTGGGTAATAAACAGCGAAGTAATTCCAGGTTTGGACAAGAAGATGCTGCATTTTCTTTGAGGTAAGACTTTTCATCTTATGATGCTCTGCAGAGCTGACACATAGAGAACTACATATATATATATATATATATTTTTTTATCTGAGAATTTTTCTTGTTACTTAACACCATTACATGGACAGGTGTAGTTATTTAAAGTTGGTATTGAAGGATGTATATGTATATATATATATATAATAGGTAATTGATTCTCTTCATCTGGGTATCATTGAAGTGAATAGCTAATTATTTTGTTAAGCTCATTATTGATTGTTGTTTGATTTCTTTTAATGATCTGATGTCTTTTTATGGCAATTGAATTAACCATGTTACCATTTCTTTTAGAGGAATATCATTAATCAATGAACCAAAAACAATATTTTCTTGATCAATTTATTAAGAACAACTTTGCTCACATAATCTATTTATTGCTCAGGTTGTCTTCCATTATTACATTCAGTTTTAAGTAAGTTAAAGGACAATGATCCCCCAAGCAAGGAGGCATAGTGAATGATTTAGCTAGTTTTTCTTCTTTTTTTTCACTTGTTGCAGGCTTAGATTCTAAACTAGGTTGTGATACTGTTAATTAGTAGTTTTTGAATATGTATGTACTTTTAGTTATAGTTGTTAATTAGTGTTAATCAGTGTGGATTAGTTAGATTAGATCTAGTGCTTGTAAAGAGATGAACAGAGAGATGTAATATAGAGAGATTAATTTTTAAAGTTCCTTGAAAATTTTTTAGATTAATTAGTTTATTGAATAAAATAAAATTTGTAACAGAAGTATATTAAATAAAAATAAAAATATATTTCTTTATTAGATTCATGTATACTATTATTATATTTAGTTGGTGTTGTTGCATTTTAAATATTAAAAGAACAAAATTTGTTACTAAGTTTTAATTAGTTAATTTAATGTGAGTTAATTATATATGTATTTGATATACTTTAATTAATAGACATAAATTAGTTGAGGTTATGTTTTTAATTTATATAAATCTATAAATAAGGTTTTCGAAATTTAAAGATTGACTTAGCAGTTATTTATATTTTTTTTTATAAAATTCATAATTTTAATTTCGACTTTTACTAACAAGCATAATATATATTACATTGTAATTTTTTAAAAAAAAATTAAAAATCACATTATACATACAATACAAAAGAAAATAAGAAAAAATAATTAAAAATCTTTAAATAGTGATATAAATTGAATAGGAAATGTAGAAATATAAAAGAAGGCATACCCTTTCTCCATTAAAAGGTTAACAGAAATCATATTATATATATATATATATATATAAATACCCTCGATTATATTTTAATCCACCAATATGTTGGGTATATTTTTATATCTTTTTTAAAAGAAGTTAACATTTTTATAATGAACAATAAAAATGAGATGTTTCTGTAATTTTATCTTATACATATATTTATTAGGAAAACATGTTCAATTTTGATTAAAAACAATAAAAAAACAATTCTATATAAACATGATTGTAATCATGCATCAACTCAACTATGATCAACCTACACCTTATTATTTTCACCATGTTTCCAAAAAAAAAAAATTGTTCTGAGATTTTCTTGAAAGATCTTGCTCAGCCCAATGTCTCTACTCTGCATCAGCCGCACAGCTTCTTTTTCTTGTTTCTCCTTTTAGTGCCACAACCAAAATCATAGCACTCCTTTTCCCCAAATGTCTGGAAAAGCAATAAATCAGAAAACAGAAGATAATGTCATCCCAAAAAAGAATTACATATCAAATAGATGAATTTCATAGGAATGATTGAGATAGAACCGCAATAAGAATTCACATCAAACCAACCAGAGAAATGCTACAATCTGATCATCCAGAATTTCTGTTAAATTGTTTTGCAAATTTATCATTTATCATTTATCATTTATCATTTATCACTCAACAAAAAGTGAGAACCAAGCAAAGTTGCTTCAAGATTTAACATGAGGTGATAAAAGAAGGAAAAACCTCTCAACCTGCAATTCCATCACCAATAAACTGCGAAAACCGCATTCAATTGTTAAAATGCCCAATTCAAGTCTCTCCATGTGATTAACTCTCTGGTTACACATGGTATGTAGAAAAATTTTGGAAGCTATGAATATTGTATGCAGATATGCGGTAACCTACATTCTCATCCTACGATGTTCATAACGGGCTGCTACCAAATCCTTTAACCACATTTTCATCGAAAGATAAAAGAGCACATTACTGTGAAAATAGGCCAGGGCTGTTTCTACAAATCATCCTCAAAGTTATCCTAAAATGGGTTTGGGTGGGGGACCTAAGAGAAACACGTCAAACCATATGCCGAAAAACTGACAAAAAGAGAGCCATATTTCATCAGCTACAAACAGATCAAACTTTTCTCAATGGAATTTTCTGCCAATCCACTGAGGTGACAGTGCAACTCTTTTGAGAGGAAAAGGGAAGAACATATGAATAAGGCACCAAAAAATGCAGTTATGCTGCCCAAGTACAGAAAGTACAAATCAATCAAAAATATCAATAAGATCTCCCAAATCACAAGCAAAATAAAGAAAATGATTCTTAAATAAAAATCACCTTGTCCAAAGCCATAAATTTCTGACTCTACTAAAGGGACAGTGATGAACTCAAAAGCCCTTCTATTTATCTCCTTCTAAATAACCCACAATTGCCAATCTCAAATTGGTAAAGTACAACTTAGTTCCACTATGCATCATAATATCAAGAATCCCAACAATTAGAATACCATATTCTTGAATTTATTGATTTTTTGGTTAATTGAATTTGTTGAAGTTGGAAGAACAATTCAACTTATCATACTCTTAACTTTCTGCCAGTCCCGTGAATTCCATCTATCCCACCCGATTAGCATCTTACAAGGTACGTAAATTAAAAATCCAATCCTAAAAACCTTAATATTCAATTATGAACATCACACAGGTTTCACATAATCAGAAACCGCAAGGAAATAACTCGACTCACAGAGTATACTCGAACCCCAATAGAATGCGGAAAACATAATCATCAATTAGCCACGGCGACCATAATATGTCATAAACCCTAATTATTGCCATTCCATTTCATACATAATTGACAAAAATCCTACCAAAGTAAGAACCACCTCTTTTTTATTTTTCAAACTAAATGGACCTAATTTGAGCTAGATAAGCAAAATACCGGAATCAATCATCAGGATCGACACCCTCGAAAGCCCAAGCATTTTGCTGACGAAGCCTCGCCTCCTCCTCCTCGGTGTAGTCATTCTCAATTCCGAAGAACGTCCTGACAAACTCGACGCTCTTGTTCTTAATCCTATCCGCGATCTCCGAACAGAGAAGATCGAGCAGCGGCTTGATGTCGAGGTAGTTGGCTGCGACCAGAATATCCCTGAGGGTTTCGATGTTATGCTTCTTGACGAATTCGGCGTTGAGGGCGTTCACCTCGTTATCGGAAGCGGCCTTAGCACGGAGATCAAGGGAACGCTTGCAGTAGGTGATGATGTTAGAGAGAGCATCTGCTGAGACGTTCGGAAGGGGCATCTCGACGGATTCCGCGGAGGCGTCCGAATTTTCTTCGAAGAAGGACTTGACGGTGGCGAACTCCATGGCGATCGGCATTTCCACCTGGAAAATTTTGCCATCCGCCGTTTTCAGAAGGACACTCTTCTTCTTCGCCTCGTCGGACGGCATGTGGCTCCGCCTGTTGGTTCGCCTGAACTGGTGAATGGTAAGGGATATTAGCGAATAGAGAGCGTATCCGAGGGTCTTAACCCTAATTTGTATTTCTCTATGTGAACCGAAAACCGAATTCAACTAAACCGGATATTATAGCTGTCTTGTCGATTTTTTAGCTAATATAATGTATCGATGTTTGAATCCGGATCAAAGTATTTGGTCTGAATTGAAAACTTGATACAATTAGATCGAACATTACATTTATCTTTACTTAATCGTTTAACTAATATAGTACGCCGATTTTTTGGTCCAAATCAAATTTTTGATTCGATTTGAAAATCGAATCAAACTTTACCGAATATTATACTTATCTTTATCTCTTTTTTTTAGCTAATATAGTATGTAAATTTTTAATTCAGACCAAAATATTTCGTCCGAACTAAAAACTGAATTCAACTAAATCGGATATTACATCTGTCTTTACATATTTTTTAGTTAACATAATGTATGGATTTTTGAGTTCGAACCAAATTATTTGATCCTGACTGAAAACTAAATTTAATTAAATTAGAGATTACATTTACCTTTATTTATTTTTTAACTAACATAATGCATGGATTTTTTGGTCCTCATCAAATTATTTGGTTCAAACTGAAAAGTGAATTTAATTAAACTTGATATTACATCTGTCTTTACGTATTTTTTAACTAATATAATATGTATATAAATTTCTGGTCCGGACCAAATTATTTAATCTTAATTGAGAATTGGATCCAATTAAACCGAATATTATATTTATTTTTATTCACTTTTTAGCTAACATAGTGTATGAATTTTTTTATCCCCATTAAATTATTTAGTTCGAACTGAGAATTGAATGTAATTAGACGGGATATTACATATGTTTTTATCCATTTTTTTTTAGCTAATATAATGCGTAAATTTTTTAATTATCTTTCTTAAACTAAATGTATTGTTTTTTCTTTTAGATTATTTTTTTAACGAAAATATATACATTTTTATAATTATATAATAAATATATATTAATAATAACACAACTAATAATATTATAATTACATAATAATTTAATATGTTTTGTTTAACCTTTTAACAACAAATACACATATTTCGGTAAGTAAGACCTGAGATCAAGAACGACCTAACTTTTATACCAAATTCACTAGTATATCTTGCAAAACTTTCCCCCCAAGAAACCATTATACACATACATGTATATTTATATATATGTATATATCCTCCAGCTCAACCTTAAAACTTAACAAGAGAAATTCTCAGATCCACGTGAAGTTAAAACCAGAGAAATATGTGTTATAGGCTTAAATGTGCCAACTCCACAGAGCATCACCATGAAATTATGAAATTTCTGGTATCTCTAAAAATTATCCGTTTCAGAATCATGAGACAATGACAAATAAATTTATTTGTAACAACTGTCAATATTGATTTGAATAAGGAGGAAGAACTTGTTGCTGTTAATGACGAAAACTACAACATTGTTTCTGATGTTTCTGATGGTTCCAAGACATAAAATGAAGTTGAAAGAACAAAACCAATGTAGGGCACATAAGAAAAGCTGCAGAATACATGTTTGAAAACGAGAAAACATTTTGTATCGCCGCTCAAGAGCTACTGTTACTGAAGACATTGAAAAATAGTTTTCGAAACAATTAAGATCACGAAATACAATCAAATGGAGATATTAGAATCTTAAGATATAGAAGATGTGATTTTTTAAAAATTCATATAATTTATTAATTAGATGATACATATATATATCGATCATAACACGATTGTTAACAAGAACACATATTGCACAATCTGATTTGACTAACTCACATCTCATTTTGGTAAAAGGCAAACCATGATATAATGGGATTGTATATAAATAGTTCCACATGAGCAGCGAGGTGGGATTCTAGCAACATGATGATCAATACGTATGTCAAAATCTGATATCAAAATCTGATAGCTAACCTAATGTTTCTAAGAAGAACGATTTACAATTAGATAGAACAAATCTTCAAATGGTATGGAAGAGCCAAAGGCAGTGCATACAACACACATTCAGCAAGCAGCACCGCCAACGCTCCAGCATGACTGGTGAGCACACACAGAGAAGCCATTTTTAGCGTTGAGAATTCTTCAAGGTAAATGCTCTTGTCTAATGGAAGGAGAGTATGCAAAGATCAGTTATAGAAAATTTAACCCGAAAATCCATTTACATCAGTAACCATATATATATATATATATGATACTCAAATCAGATGCTTCTTGTTTATATATCTGTTGAGAGGAATCCATAATCTGCAGATGGCTAAGTAAGACCAGCCAAACACTAACTAACAGCAGCAGACAATTGATTAAAAGAACAAAGACTCAGAAACGCAGAACAAAAGGCGAAGTATGATAAACTATAGCAAGATAATTATCTGCAGTATAACATATTTGCTAATTTATAATGGGGGGAAGGAGTGCTAACTCCATGGTACTAAGAAGCAAGGAAAGAAAAGAGAATAGAGATCAAATGAACCTGTACCAATTAAGTTTCATAAGAAGCAAAAGTGCTAGAAAATCAACACAGTAAAAGCCAAAAGCTCCACCGACAAGTAATAGCATCCATGATAACAGATTGCCAAACAAACAACAAAAAGACTTTAAACAAAAAAAAAAAACTGTGAGAATGAAGTATGAGAGTTGGCCATGGATATTTTCATCAAGTTCGGTGTAATTGAGCTGAACCAATTCCTAGTTGCATTTTCGCACCTAAGCATGAGTTGCTTTTAAAGCTCAAGCGAAACCATTTCTTGGAGTTTCAGAGCCATATTTCATGGATTAAATTACTCAAGGACCTATACGTGATTGTGAGAGTACAAATCTAGAGTTGATCTTAGCAATGACTTTGATAACACAGGAGAGGGATAATCTAGACCCATACCAGGTAGAGAGAGAAACAGAGATTAGAGATAAGAATGAGTGATAGCAACTTTCAATAATTGTTTACCATGTAAAGTACTAAAGATAAAGGTTATGATAAATTCAATCATGCACCATATATATTGTCCAATTTTTACTTCTTTCTGTCGCTTACCAAGCCTTTGATATTTTCCCTTCCCATAAACAGTAACATACTTCAATTCTGTGCATCAGCTAATTATGCAACAAAGTATGTATCAAAGGGCTCTAGAGGATATTAAATCCGTAATGGTTATTGGACAATCAACACATAAGAAACGGAGTTACTTCAATTGTCGCAAGCTTCCAAGACAAAAATGGAGTTGCAATAAGAGAACTTAGGTAAGAAACATAAGCAAAGTTGCAGATTACATGTTGCCAACAATGAAGACATGATAAATTGTGACAGATTTACTGCTTGAGAACTATTGTTACTGGAAACAACCTAAAACGGATTTTCAAACAGGCAAACTTATGAAATAAAATAGATTGAAGATATAAGAATCTTAAAATGCAAAGACGGCTACTTGTTTATGGGGCAAAGGCAGACATGATTGATTTAGAAATGTTTAAGCAGCAGTTATAAACAAAATAACTTTATTTAAGTATCATCAGATTCATGGTGGAGATTTAGCTTTGGATGCTGGTTATTATTTTCCCCAACTAAATAATAACTAGCAACATTAAGTACACTTGTCATTGTTGTAAAAGGCAAAACCATTTATAATGGAATCTAGAGAATTAATGCTATACGTACAGTAAGGTGGGATTCTAACAACGTTAACTTATTTAAATAAAAGTGAAGGACACAAATACCATCACAAAAGACAGACAAAAGTAAAGTATAAAGAGGCAATAACGTTAAAGAAAATTGTATTTCTTTAATCACTTATGTTCCAAGAATAGTTATATGTACCACATTGTGGCAACAATGAATTCCCTGGTGTTAAAATTTGATAGCAGCAAACCTAATGTCTAATACTAACTCCAAAAAGAATGATTTACAGTTGGAATGAATGAATCTTTCAGAGGTTATGGAGAGCCAAAGACAGTGCTTACAACACACATACAGCAAGAGCTAGACTCTAGAAGGAATGGTGGGCACTGTGGGAGGAGCTATTGGTTTGGTGTTGAGTAGACTGTCAGCATCAGTAATGGGTACAAAGTTGGAGACCCTTCTCTTTCTTCTTCTTCTTCTTCCACCTGCACTCTCTCCATCTTCAAAACTAGAGGTCCTACCAGAGTCTTCAACATCCTCAGAACCTGAGGAAGAGCAGGAAAGTAACTCTGAATCCTCCTCCTCAGACTCAGTGCCAGAATCGTCAGAATCAAATTCATCATCGCTCCCAAATGAAGAATATGAAGTGGAGATTCTTTCTATATTTGAAATTTGATCAACTTGTTGAACCTCCAAGTGCTGATGGTCGGCTTGACCGGCTAAGAAAGGGTGATCAAGCAGCATCTCAGCCGTGAGTCTAAAGTTGGGATTCCTTACAAGGCAAGCCTTCAAGAAAGCCCTAGCTTCCTTGGAAATCCCAGACGGGATTGTGGGTGACTGATACTGATCTCCAATCAGACGCAGAAGATCTTTTCTCTTATGATTAGGCTTCACATCCCAAGGATCCTTCCCAGTTAGCATCCCCAGCACAATGCAACCAAGAGCCCAAATATCAGAAGGAGGATGTTGCTTGTGCTCGTTCACAGATTCTGGAGCCAAATACATAGCAGTACCTCTCAAATAAGGATCCAGCTTCTGCTTCTTGGTGAGTGTTGCTCTCTTAGCCAATCCAAAATCAGCAATTTTAGCCACAAATTCAGAGGAAGAACCAGAGGAAGGCACAAGAAGTATGTTATCCGGTTTCAAGTCGCAGTGAACGTAACCAGACTCGTGAACTTGAAAAATACCCGCGAGTATGGAATAGGCGTAACGTTTGACCAGGGCTTCAGGCAATCCAGGAGAGGGATATGAATTTTTTATCAGTCTGGCTAGGGTTCCACCAGAGGCATACTCCAAGAGAACATTGTAAGCCATGGAACCATCAGGGTCGACGGTGGTCTCTTCGCCGTAACAACGCAAGAGATTGGGACAGTGAGAAAGGTTGAGGAGAACCTCTTTCTCCTTCTGAAGAGAAGCGGACATAGAGAAGTCAGCAGACTTGA